CCCCAAATTTAACCCCAACCCCTCCCCCGAACACCCTAGCATTTACTTTTTTTACAACCCCATCTATAAATATATTAAACAACCATGGTGACATTACACATCCTTGTCTAAGACCTACTTTTACCGGGAAAGTCTCCCTCTCTTCTACACATCCTAACCTGAGCCTCACTATCCTCATAAAAACTCTTTACAGCATTTAGTAACTTACCACCTATTCTATATACTTGCAACATCTACCACATTGGTTCCCTATCCACTCTATCATATGCCTTTTCTAAATCCATAAATGCAATAAAAACTTCCCTACCTTTATCTAAATAATGCTCACACATATGCTTCAATGTAAACACTTGATCTACACATCCCCTACCCACTCTAAAACCTCCTTGCTCATCCGCAATTCTACTTTCTGTCTTACCTCTAATTCTTTCAATAATAACCCTACCGTACACTTTTCCTGGTATACTCAGTAAACTTATTCCTCTATAATTTTTACAATCACTTTTCTCCCCCTTCCCTTTATATAAAGGGACTATACACAATCTCTGCCAATCCCTAGGTACCTTCCCCTCTTTCATACATTTATTAAACAAAAATACCAACCATTCCAACACTATGTCCCCCCCCCCCTGCTTTTAACATTTCTGTCATGATCCCGTCAGTTCCAGCTGCTTTACCCCGTTTCATTCTACGTAATGCCTCACGTACCTCCCCCACACTTACATCCTGCTCTTCTTCACTCCTAAAAGATGGTATACCTCCCTGGCCAGTGCATGAAATTACCGCCTCCCTTTCTTCGTCGACATTTAGAAGTTTCTCAAAATATTCTCGCCATCTACCCAAAACCTCCATCTCCCCATCTACTAACTCACCTACTCTGTTTTTAACTGACAAATCAATTTGTTCCCTAGGCTTTCTTAACTTGTTTAACTCACTCAATTTTTTTTCTTATTTTCATTAAAATTCCTTGAGAGTACCTCTCCCACTCTATCATCCGCTCTCCTTTTGCACTCTCTCACCACTCTCTTCACTTTTCTTTTACTCTCCATATACTCTGCTCTTCTTATAACACTTCTGCTCTGTAAATACCTCTCATAAGCTATCTTTCTCTCTTTTATCACACCCTTTACTTCATTATTCCACCAATCACTCCTCTTTCCTCCTGCACCCACCCTTCTATAACCACAAACTTCTGCCCCACATTCTAATACTGCATTTTTAAAACTATTCCAACCCTCTTCAACCCCCCCCACTACTCATACCTGCACCAGCCCATCTTTCTGCCAATAGTTGCTTATATTTCACACGAACTTCCTCCTCCCTTAGTTTATACACTTTCACCTCCCTCTTACTTGTTGTTGCCATTTTCCTCTTTTTCCATCAACCTCTTACTCTAACTGTAGCTACAACTAGATAATGATCCGATATATTAGTTGCCCACTGTGAAAAAAACAGCGAAATTCTAAGTGCTTTCATGTCTTCTCATATTATTCTTGATAATGTAAAAAGTCACGAAAGCGCTTGGAATATCGCTATTGTCTTACAATGGTTGTTTTGTATGTTGTGATATCACCTGTTTTCTGTGCTTTCGTTGCATATATATATATATATATATATATTATATATATATATAATATATTATATATATATATATTATATATATATATATATATATATACATATATATATATATATATATATATATATATATTATATATATAATATATATATATATATATATATATATATATATATATATATGTAGAGAGAGAGAGAGGAGAGAGAGAGAGAGAGACAGACAGACAGACAGACCGACAGAGACAGAGAGAAACTACATAGCACATAAATATTAAAATAAATTATTTTCATTAAATTTTACTGCTCATGATTATTGGTTTATTTACATTTGATGTATCCTTTCCATTCCAATGTTTACTTTTAATATTACTTCTTTAATATCTTTTCCAGTTTTCTGCGCAATCCTTGTATTTTTTCATATATATTATTTGCATTTTTAGTTTTTATTAATATACAAAGTGATGCGTTTTTTGTCTTGTATTTACTTAAGTGTTTTTTTAAGCGTATATTTCATGTATGATGTATTATGAGAGGCGAAGACTGACCTCAGTAATACCTAAAAAAAAGAAAATATAAAAAAAAGGGCTACGATCTGTTTGTCGTCAGAAAAACTTTGTCTATCATTCATATGAATCAATGAACTTCTTCACCTCTTGATAGATGTGGGTCAGGAAGATCCCATCTATCGCACTTGTGTAGCTTCCTCATCCGATAGATGTGAGTAAACAAGTCTCTATCATACTTTGAATCTATTAGCGTCTTCACCTCCTGATAGATTTGGGTAGGGAAGATTCTATCTATCGTACTAATGAATCTATTGGTTTCTCTATCTCCTGTTAGATTATTGTAATGTGTATGTTGACCTTTATATGTATTACTGTTATTGCATCATATTGTCAATGTTGTATTGTGTTGTCATTGTTTGTGTATTTTGTTGTCCCTGTTATTGTGTTGTGTTATCATTGTTATTGTATTGTGTTGTCACTTACTGTATTGTGTTGTCAGTGTAAGTGTAACGTGTTGTCACACTGTTAATGTA